AGCCTTGATCCTTACGTGCCAGTCCATCATGGCTAGGGTCATCCTATATGATCTTGAATTTGACAGGCACAAATCCAACCCTCCCACCTTAAAACCCCTCTGTTAGGTGAGAAATGGAAACACCAATGTAGATATTCTGAGTTATCTTCGAAGTTTTGCTTCTGCCTTCACCTCCCCACCTTTGTGGTCATGTGGTTACTGACCTCATGGTACCTACACGGTGCTGCAAATGGCAGCGTTGTGACCACCCCCGCCGGCTCTTGCCCCTTTTCCCAGTGGGTTGTGAGGAGCTGGAGTCATTTCCAAAATGAAGTGCATCCCACTGTGGCATAGGGATGCTGCACTGGTTCCCAGTCCCACTGAAGTCGGGTGGGTTTTCCCCTATGGATCTGGAGTGATGATCAGTTGATTGTCAAATCCCCTGGGCACATCTCTGAACTTTGCTGAGCTCCAATGCACACGAACCAGGTGTCTGGAGTGACGGATGGCTCAGAATTTTCAAGTCTCTCTCCATGGGTGTTTGCTGGCCACACACCAAGAACCAAAGGGCAGTTTTCCCTATAAACTCTTGAGTGAAATTAGAACAAAGTTTGTTCCTCCCCAAGCCAGCAGGAAAGGCACAGAGTGGGGAAAAAGGAAAGCTGGACCAGCCCAGATCCAGTCTCCATGGGCAGCAGACCCAGCATAGCCAAGTCCTACCTACCATTCCCCTATCACCTGACTAGGGTAGGGGGAGGGGAAGAATTGAAAATACTATAACCTGCCCTCCTGCCAAGTGCCTTTATTCTATTTCTCCATGGCAGGCAGCCAAAATGGGATTCTTTCCTCATTGCTAAAGTGAACTTTGTACTGGGCAAAAGTGCTGGGATTGATAAATCCCCTGGAGACAAGTTCTCCATTGATAGAGCTGATACCACTCTGGCAACGCCATCTTCTTTCTACCCCACCTCAACTGTGGCCTGGATAATAGGGTGTCACAGCAGGGAGCTCATTCAGTCCTTGGCTTCCACGTGGAGAAGGTGCTAGCTGTGGTGGTGGTTTGTACCGTCTGTCTGCTAGGAACCAAACTAAGGCTCTCCCCACTTTTCACATATGGGGTCCCTCCAAACACCAGTCGGACAGGAATGACTTTTGGGCACTGCCAACCTGAGCGGGATACAGAGTTGTGGTTCCTATTACCCTAAGCTGGCCAGTCCATTGGAATGGGGCTCAAACAGCAGCATGGCATTACCAAGACACTGATTTCATTCGTTCCCCCCACCCGAGTGCCAGCTGGGCAGCTCAGCATTCCAAGGAGGCATTAGGTTGCAGGAGTTTATTTTTACACAGCTCTATCGGGAATGGGTACGTGTCGCATCTGTAGAGAGGATCAAAAGATGTCCCAAGTGCAGGTGTCAGCTGCTCCTTGTGATCTCAACGCCAGGATCTTTTTCCTTGTGGCATATCAAAGAGAGCAGGAGAATCTGACTGTTTGCTTTTTTAATTGAAAATATATCTAAAAAGGGGGTTTCTAAAAATAAAAACGGTTGCCTCTGTTCCCATGGGAAGATTTGGGGGATGGAGGGAGCCAGAGCAATTGGTTGAAACAGATATTTTTGGGGGTAGACACAAGAAACACGGAAGGAAATCAGGACCGCACTGTAACAGGTGATGGGGGAATCTGAAAGCCCAAAGGGCACCAGTGCCCCAGAGCTAAACCATATCCATCCGAGAGCAGATGCAGAAAGCGGGAGGGTAAAGGCAGGAAACTGTATCCCTGTAAGTCTACAAGGGGTTGGCTCAGGGGAAATCCAAAGCTTCTGATTTGAAATCCTCCCATTCCCTGGACCCACAGGTTTGACTTGACTCTTCATCCTTCTAAATGAATTTGGGCCATTTACAGCATGGGAGGCCGGCTGGGTGAGGAGTTAAAAGCCAGGGCCCTGGCAGGCCTGCGTGAACTTTAAAGATCCTGCAGCCCTTCATGGGTTTGCCCTGGTGTCCTTGGTCAGCATTTCTCCTTCCCACTTTCTTACGCAGTTTGCTTCTGGCACTTAGCTGTCCCTCTTGATGCCATGGTGCATGCCAGAGATGGAGCAATGGGCCCAATCCTGTTTGCCTTACTTGCTTGAATCAGACTTATTGGCACCACTGGGGTAGCAAGGCAAGTGGGTTTTGTCTCTGTAGCTGTAAAAAACTTCTGGGATCCTTTGGCATGAGGGTGCTTCCTACATACAGAAACACACATTGTAATGCAGCCTTGCCAGTGGGAAAGACGATGGAGAAAATGCTTTCAGAGCCATTCATAGTTTGAAACCGGTTTCTCTGTTGCTTGTTGGAATTTTGCCCTGTGTTGAGCAGGATGAGTGCAGCTGTATGAAGGTACTTGGAGCCTTGTTATAGTGCTCGGTTAGGGTCTGTCTCTCTGTAAGGCTCTGGTGCCTCAGCTCCCAGCCACATGAAACCCACTCACAATGCTCCTTGCAGGCACCCTCCAGACCATTTGTCCTTCCTATCGCCTTCCCCAAGGGTGGTGTTGATAAAGAGAGAAGGAAGCTGAGGGGTGTAATGTTCACTGCTTGTGGAACAGTGTCCTAAGACAGACTGGAAAATATGGACAGGACACACAGTCCCATTCCCCAGCCTCAGGAAACTAGACCAGTAATCCCAGATTTAAAAAAAAAAAGAGTGAAACTGTTTCTTCCATTCCTGTAACTTCTTGCGAAGTAGATTTTACTTCCACTTGTTGAATCCTGAAAAGATTATTTAGGGCGCTTTAACGCAGCCCCTGGGGTGTTTTTCTCTCTTCACAGCCTCTCGGATGCTCAGATGTTTGTCTGATCTGAAATGCACTCACCGTATAAATAAACTTGCTTCCCCATTCATCAGAAAACACCCACGGATTAGCCAATAACGGCAAGAATTGTGTCACGCCTTTCGCCGCTAGGTTCGAATCCTGCCCTGGCCATTAGTAGAGGCAGACAAACTATTACTAATGAATGACTTGTGGTGAGTGGCATGAAAGGAGTTGGTGACCTCTGCTCAGAAGGGAAGGACTGGGAGCCTGCTCTGTTGAAGTCACTGGGAGTTGGGCCCCTGACTTTAGCAGAGGCAGGATCAGAGTATGAATGGGCCATGGAGTCTGATGGACACTCACCCCAGCGCAGGGGGAGACCTGTTTGCAGGGGCAGCGTGTGTGGGAATCTTAACCTTCCACTAGGCGGCTGTGCCCGCTCCAGGTGTAGAGATGAGGCCTTCAGCCTTCAGGGCTGCCAGACGAAGTGCTAATTTCAAACCAACCCTGCATTAGCCAGCCAGGTTTCTGTGCAACCTCAGTGGGAATAAGACCCTGTCTGGGGCTGGGGGGAAGGGTGGGGGGTGCAGCTGGAACAGAAGAGGGTCAGGAATGAAGAGATTCCTCTCTGTACTCAATAATTGGAACACATTGACCGAGACACCCAAACCATACGACACACTTTCAAATTAGCATTGGCCTGGGGGGGGTCTCACTTTTTGCTTTAAACAAATCCCCGCTTCACATTCATTCCTGGCCCCCGCAGCCAGTGCCTTTCACACACCCACGCTCTCTGCTTGGCAGAGCATTGGCGTAATGTCAGTGGGGGCCTTGCCCTTGGCCACTTGCGTGTCCGTTGTGCCGGTGTGTAACATAATCATATGTTCTGCCCCTCAGAGAGCTGTGTGGCTTTGCAGCAAGGCAGCCATCGGGAAGGAGGTGGAAACGGGGCAGGTCTCAGCTGCTTTTCATGATTAAATGGATATTTTTAGCTCTGTTCCTAGAGCTTAGATTGGCCTGTGTGCGCCAGGAATTGATTCCTCTCTACACTAGGTTTTTTGAGAGTGTGTGTGTGCGCACGCTGGGTTGGACACAATGGAAAGAGAGATGGGGAATTAAGAGTCTGTGTTGCCTTCCTCAGTGACTTGGCTGCAGGGGGAATGTGAAACTGACTTGACACTGAAGGTTGGATAATTTGGAGGCGATACAGTGATGGCTGGGGTTACAGAGTTTGAGTCAAGTGACAGGTGGGAGGATGTGGGAAGGCAGAGGGGCAAGAAGATGGGTTTGGGAGACAGAAGAGCTGACTTGTCTAGCTGTGAAACCATCCACCCAAAAGTCTTGCCCAGAGCAGGGCTGTCTTATGTGCCCTGTAAGCCTCTTGCTCTCCTCTCTAGTTGCTGATTTATCAGGGCAGTGGGATTAGCCCTGGCTGTCTGCAGCACGTCACCAAAGGCTGGAGTGGCTTAATTTTCCCTGAAGAGCACGGACTGCTGCTTTGCCAGCATCTGGCCTGTATGGTTTTGAGCTTGTGCTCGCTAGAGGAGACCAAGGTATTCCCTTGCAAAAGCACCCCGTTGTGACACTGGCAGAACCTGCGCCGGAGCTTCTGACACACAGATACTGGAGCACAGTTTTGTGGTAGTTTTGAATTGCAGCCTTGCAGGGCAGCTTTCCGAAGTTTCTGATGTGAACTTGAAATGATGTGGGCACTCCCCGTTGATTGGCAAAGTTCACAATGATCTCCTTTGCCACTTCACTGCCATGTAATTGCTCCAAACTGGGCCATATGCCAGTAAACTGCTCCTGGGGTAAATATGACCCATAATACTCAGTAATGCTTCCCTCTGCTGCTCTCAACTTTAATATTGGGGGTAGCACATTAACACTACAGCTCCCAGCATGCAATGCTCTGTCTTTATCCCAGCCACTTGACTAGAGATGGAGCATTGCATGCTGGGAGCTGAAGTCTCTGCAGGCCACATCTCTGCATTCAAGTTGAAGTCTGTTGAAATCCGCTCATTTTAAGCAGATGCGGTTTGGTTTTTGGGCTCCTGGTAAGTTGCCAAGGTGGCCCGTGGTTGGGCAATGTTTCGGCACCCTGAGTCAGATGCAACTCAACGCGCATTTCATGAGGCCCTGAGCTTTGGCTGCTGTATCAGGCTTCTCTGGTGCTGGCAGGTGGAGGAGAGGATGGCCAGGCTCACCTCCTCTTGTCTCTTCACAGTACGAGGTGTCCGGCGAGGAGCACCTTTACTCCGATTTCCCTGAGATTGACCTGTCCCCGTTGGACGCCAGTGACTTTGACTCTGCCAGCTGCTTCAGCGAGCTGCAGTGGTGTGCCGAGCACTCCGAGACCGAGTCCAGCCAGTACAGCACAGACGACTCCGAGCTCCTTCAGGTACCGTGTGCCATGCAGCTCCCTGGCCCAAGGCAGAGGCCACCAAGCGGCACTTTCACTCCGGGGCGAATCTTTCCTCCTGGGTCTCCCTCTCCTCCCCCGCCCACCACCTACAACTACAGGGCACTGATGTTGTCCATTCAGCCCACTGAAAGGAGGAAGTGGCGTCTGGGGAAGGGGAGGGATTGCTGTGTTGTCCCCTAGCCTAGCCAAAGAAGAGCAGTAAAGACTGAGCAATCTGGGGTTAGTCTGTCCTGGCCATTCGCTATGGACCCTATCCAGGTCCCATTGATGTCAGTGGAAAGCACCCCATTTACTCCAGGGGGCTTTGGAGCAGGGTCTCTCTGAGGGGCGTGGTCACCGAGAACAGTTTTCCCACTCCCCGAACTGCCTGTCCAACCCCTGCCAGCACCCCCCTGCCCCACCTGCAGCACGGGGAGCCAGCACGGGTAGCGTGGGGCACCCAGTCCATGTGCACATACCTCACTACACGGACACACACAGTCACTGCCCAGTGCTGCATATCAAGCCTGTTGAAGCCAAGGCCTCCTGTGGGCTTCTCCTCAGGTAACATCGCCTCATCTCCTTCCTTCTCCTAGATCAGCCTGGGGAAGCAGAGGACAGGTGGCGGGATGAGGAGAGGAGGGGGTCCGGGTTATTAATATCTCTTCCCCAGCTGATTAGTGCTCCATTAATTTGCACTCCGTTTCTAAATGGGGCAAGCGGAGTAAGGCTATAATGAGGAGGTGGAAGAATAGAAGAGGGCTGCTGAGCCGATCCTCCTGTGATGTATTATTAAAAGGAAATTACAGCGTAGTGCCTAGTGCATCCTGTTTGATTTTAGGTCTGACAGATTGTGCTGGGGTGGGTGGCGGCGGTGGTTTCTAAGAGGCTCAGCAGCAGCATGGAGCGGTGTGGCACAGGAATGTTAATTTCCAGCATGCAGAAAACAGCTTCCCTTTTATCTCACTCTCCAGCTTCAGCATCACCTCTGCATTCTGCGCACAGGTTTATTTATAGCAGGGACTCTCTCTCACTGAATTGCGCTCTAAATAGACATGCGAGCATCATGCTAATAGCTGATCTGCATTCGGGGGGAGGCGCTCTGGATTGTCTCATGAGCAAGTAGGAAGGGCCCCACTCAGCCCACTCATGGGTCACACACAGGATGTTGGTTCACCCTCTCTCCCCCACAGCCCTGTCACTCCAGACTCCGCTCCACTATTGTGCAATCAGGAGGCAGCGTGGCAGTGGATGGGTGGGACCCAGGGCTGGGAGACAGGAAACGTGGTTGTGCAGCCCAGCTGTGCCACTGGCTTCCTGTGTGACCTTAGACTAGCAGCTTTTCCCTGCCTCAGTGTCCCCACTTGTAACCTGGGGAAGATGAAGGGTGTTCCCCATCCAGAAGGCTTTGAGGTCTATGGTTGGGCAATGCAGTATTCGTGCTAAGCTTTATCATTGTCCCTGGGTGTGTCTATGCCTGTGTGTATATAAACGGGGGTTAGGTGGGTAGATTACCAGGCGCACCAGACTGATAGTCGTAAACAAACACCTTGCTTACAATGTAGAACTGGACCTAAGTCACCAAGTTTGGATCCAGAATCAGATCCAAATCCAGACTTCACTGACATTTGGGTGCTTCTTCCAGACACACAAATTCATCTCTGGATCTGATCTTCCAGTGCAAGGGGGCTAAGGAGAGGCTGCTTCTGGCCTCTCTCGTGCAGATACATTGGTTTGCAATAGAAAAAACAGAGTTGGTGCTTTTAAAACAAGTCAGTGGGGTAGCCCCTTCAACAAGCAGGGAATTTGCATGTGAGTCTCACAGAAAGCCAGAGTCAATTGCTGGATTTAAAAAAAAAAGAATGGGATTGTTTTTGTCATCAGCACTGACGTTTGCAGTGATGTGCTAAGAAAAGGTACTCAAACCTCATTTGGCAGGGCATCTAGTAATCGACAGGGAAGGAATCACAGCACTGCATGGAGTAAGGGCACTTTCTTCTGAAGCATCAGGGATAGCCCCTGCTGGAGGTGGGACAAGAGACGAGCTGGCCCATTGGTTGGACGCAGTGTGTAGGCTCCACATAGCTGGAGGGGGATTGTGAGCTCTTTGGACACACTGGCTGTCTCTCCCCCAGAAACATCTGGCACCACCACAAGCAGCACCTCTAGGCAGTTTAGGAGGAACATGATGGTAGGTTACAAGTGCTAACAGAATGGGGGGAAAGGCAGAAATGGGCAGCAGGTCCCCTCCCTTCTGTAAATACCTGTTTGTCTATCTAGATAGCTAAGGTACTTATATGGTCCCCATTACCATCTGAGCACCTCCCAAAACCCCTGAGAGTTAGGGCAGGGCTACTATCTCCATTGTACAGAGGGGGAACTGAGGCACAGAGAGACTAAGGGACTTGCCCAAGGTCACCCAGGGAATCTGTGGCTGAGTATGGAATTAAACTTGTGGCTTCCAAGTCTTAGGCTAATGCTCTAACCACGGGACCATCCTTCCTCTTGTAGCTGTGGCCTTGACATGCCCCATCCCCTCTGGACTGGGAAGGAAACGTCCCCTTTTCCCTAGGTGATGCACACAGAGAGAAGCCTTGACTCTTCTTCTCCCGCTTAGCAACGGGCCTGCGTTGGAGTCCAGCTCACTGGCGCCCGTTAGCAGCCAGTTGTGGATCTTGGCACTGGTTTCATTTTTTTGGAGACTTTTAAAAAGCCCCAATATTTCCGAACTTAACCATAACAATACTAACGTTCTGGCCTTTACGCTGCGCTGCTGCTGTGCTTGAAAAGGCTCCGGAGCAGCTGACAGACCTTCATCACGAGATGCATATTTTCCGCTGAACTTCCTGGGGAAAAGATAAACAGAGCAGAAATATAAGAGACAGGCCCGTTAGCAGGACATAGTGAAATGTATCCCACTGAACTTCTACGCACAGCAGCCAAAAATGGAGCATCCTGACGCCTTTTCCCCGGGTCTTGGTGTAGAAACTTCTAACAGGGTTAGCGGGTTGAAGAAAAGAGTATTTTAATTCTCGTTAGCAGGTGCTAACATACAGTTAGGCCTCATTTTAGACCCAGATTTCTCCCTGTGCTACATGCAGAGCTGCAGTTATCCTACTACTACTGCCAATTATTTATATCAGGAATGTTACAGTAAATAATCCCATAGAAATGAATCCTCCTGAAGAACGGAATCTGGGTCACTTCTTTTCTTACGTCCAGCATTCTGGGGTTTTGCCCCAATTTTGGCCTTTGGCAATATGGTTGAATGATGGTAGTTACAACAGGGCAGGGGCATCAGCAGAGCTGCGTGGGGAGCCCAGACTGGAATAGTTGAGGGTCGTGGCTGTAGGTTGGGGTTGAGGTGCATCAGCAGAGCTGAGTGTGGGAGTTCAGGTCTGGAATAGCAGGTGAGTGTTGTAGGTCAGGACTAAGATGTATTAGCAGAGCTGTGATGGAAAAGCCTGCGGCCCTATCAGATCTCTTGTGCTGGTCAGGTCAGAGTTTAACAGGCTTGCGCTCCTAGTTTCCCTAGAGCCAGTGACAGCATCTTTCTTTTCAAAATATCCGCAAGCAGTGTGACACAGTGTCATGACATGTGACAGTACAGCCTTAAGTCAATCCCGGTATTACCACCCCCAGGCATTCAAAAATCACGAGGCAGGAGCCAAAAGCATGAGAGTAGCTTAAAAATCATGAGTTTAAAAAATAATAATACATGATGGGTTCTTTCTCCTTGCTTTCTGATTTCTGAGCCTTTAAGATTCACGCCAGTCTCATTTTCAACCCTTTTCTGCAACCACAAAGCCTAGAAACTTCCTTAGTTTTAATTAAAAGCTGAGAGACTCTGATTCCAGTCATCGGGGCTTTAAGAATTAAATAGTGCTTACCAAAAAGGCCAGCAGTGGCAATGCTGCCATCATGCAAGTGCCATTCCTGTGCTCCGCCGGATCCAAGGGGAGGGGGTCAATCGGGAGGACGACACCCTGGACTCCCTTCCATTGGACAGCCTTGAGCCTAAGCCCTTCAGATATCCTTCCCTCATTTTGTTGGGTGCTCCAGTTCCTCCACCCCACTCCTCTGAGCCCCAGTGAGTCTCAGGAAGTGCTGGTCAGAAGCAAGAGAGCAAGTCAGGTGGAAATTGTGGTCACCGCTTCATGCCAGCTGCCCACAAATTGGGGAAAGAACACATCACCGGGTGTCCTTCCCTGTTTTCAGAGTGTCTGAAATACGCCCAAAACAGGAAGGATGGAAGTTAGTTAGAGAGGAAGCTGCTGCTGGGAAGCCACAGCAACAGCTGCTAATTTAAAGGGGGGATTGAGTTGGGTGGTGGTTTTTTTTTTTTTAAAGACACTTGTGCAAGTATGATTCAGAAGGATACAGCCAAGCCCTTGCAACTTAACCCCCCCCCCGCCTCCCAGTAGAGAAATAATACGCCTGTTCAGAGCTGTTCAGTGAATCCTGAAAGAATGCAGTCAGTCTGTTGAAGGAATGAGCTTTCCATGCACCAAGCCCAAGTAAATTCATCTAACAGCATTCATTTGGAAGTGAGTATTTACGGATGGTTGAGTAGGCCAGGGTCTCTCAAACTAGCTACTGTAGGGCAACCACCCTTGGAGCTACTGAGGCCAGCAGTGGCAACGTGCTGGGAATTGGAAGGGCACAATAAATTTGCATAAAATGGACCAGATTGCAGCCGCTCTTGGGCCTGATTCTGCTTTCACCCTGGGGTAAATCGGGAGCAGTCCCGCTGAAGTCAGTGGAGTAGGGCAGATGCAAACCTGGCATCAGTGATGGAAGTAGGGTGACCAGACAGCAAGTGTGAAAAATCGGAACAGGGGGTGGGGGGTAATAGGAACCAAAGGCGGCACGTGAGTTGATTTTCAGCGGCACTCACACTGCCCGGGTCCTGGCCACCGGTCCAGGGGGCTCTGCATTTTAATTTAATTTTAATTGAAGCTTCTTAAACATTTTAAAAACCTTATTTACTTTACATACAACAGTAGTTTAGTTATATATTATAGACTTATAGAAAGAGACCTTCTAAAAACGTTAATGTATTACTGGCACGCGAAACCTTAAATTAGAGTGAATAAATGAAGACACGGCACACCACTTCTGAAAGATTGCTGACCCCTGCCCTAGATGGAAGAATGAGGCCCCCTTTAAATAATATGGTGGGGCAGCTTGTGGGAACTGTAGTTACGCCCCCTAGAGGTAGCCTGCAATGGAAAATGTCGGCTGGCGCTCACTGCTCTGTACAAATCTCTCTTGCTTTTCAGATAATAGACAGTGAGAATGAAGCCCTGCTGGCGGCCCTCACCGAAACACTGGATGAAATACAGGAAGATGACATGGGCCTGGCTGCCTTCCGCACTATGGAAGAAAGGGATGCGCCCAACCACATCTGTGCCTCGCCAGCCCCTCCCCCCAAACCAGTCGCCCCCACCCCGGGGGGGCCCCCTTTGGCCCCTGAGGTTGATGAGCTGTCTCTAGTAAGAACCCACTTCCTACTGTTTAAGGTGGATTTGGATGAGCCTCTGATAAGCCGGCTGCATGGGTATGATAGGAAGCAAAGGTCTGAATCTTTTCATTATAGGCTTAAAACTCTTAACCGTCGATACAAAGCATATACCTGTATTGTATACGTATACATGTGCCGCGCCATCGCCGTCACCTCCATCACCATCCTCATGGGAACAAGCTGCTATGTGCAAAGGGCAGTGGGTGTTAGCAGATGGGCAGAATCCATTTTCTAGCCCCCCAAAACAGGGAGGATTTGGCCTGGGGCCTCACTTTATCTGAACCCCATCACAGTTGGGCTAACGGGGTCTCATTGTGGCCCATTACTGCCCCCACTCCACCCCAGAGCTCCCCATCATTCCACTGCATCTCACTAGAGCACCTGGGGTCAGTTCCGAGCCATTTCCCCTGATCCCCAAACCTCCACCCGTAGGCCTGGCCCTTCTCCCTCACCTTCAGGGTGTGTGTTCAGGGGCCAGCGCTCCTCAGCTTGTGCTGGGGAGAGGGGACCCGGCCTGGTTGTAATCCTAGCCCTTTCACCTTATCTGTGGCCTCAGTTTGAGAACCTTCCGTTAAGTTAATCACTCTGCAAGGAAGTGGGGAAGAGGAAAGAGGGGTACAGCTGATGCCACCCCTCCAGCCCTTCCCACAAAAAGAGCAGCCCATCTTTTCTCTCCCAGCCAGAGCTGCATGCGCTCTGAGGTTGGCCTGGGCCTGCGTAGCCTGCAGTCCCCCATGCCCACTGGGCAAACCCTTGAACACGCCAGCCCTGAAGGAGGCCTCTCTGTGGCTTTGTGAGGTTTCTGGGTTCAAATGCCACCTCCAAGTCCATCCTGTGCTTTATCCTACCGCTCCTTGGAACCCAGCTTCACTCATGGCTTGAGCAGGAGAGCCCCGGCATTGCCGCCAGGTGGTACAAGGCTTCCTGGGCCATATATAAGAGCATCCCTGCTGGTCTGATATAACCGAGCTGGGCCTGTAGCTCATTCACCAGCCAGAGAAATCCGTCCCTGGGGGGGACCCCCCTACCTCTCCGCTGTGTAATGACTGAAAGGCATGGTTTATATAAAAGTGCATTGCGGCATCTAGTGGTGAAAGCGTGCATTTCCACTTCACACTACAGTGCGTGTGTGGGGGTGTATATATCACACACAATGTGTATGTGTATATATAGGATGTATACGTTGCAGGGGGAAAGCACTTACACTTATTATAAATGGGAAGTGCACAATTAAGCCACTGGGCAACCCCTGTTGAAATTTCACTGCAGAACCCGACCGAGAGAGCAGAAACGCTGTTGTGTGAACCTCCCACTTCAATAACCGTTGTCATGGGCCTGGTCTTAAAGGGGGCCTCTAAATTTGCAGGCCATCTTTGAAGACCAAGCCCTAGATATTGCACGTCTGTACGTCCCCACAGAGCCTAAGCAGTTGCCTTGCTATTGATCTAGGCTTCAGCATTAGCACGACGTGTGTGGAACATGGAATGTTTTTTTTTAAATGTTTTGAACAGAAGACTATGCTAACTCTGTGATCAGAAATGAGTATGCCATGATGCTGTGTAACCTAAGGAAATTCCAGCTCAGCTGTTGTCACCAGACCCTCTTGATGGGATTACAGTGGAATTCACATCAGGGTCACCTTGGGGGAGATCCCCAATAAATACTTGACACTTACACAGAGCTTTATATCTTCAAAACACTTTGCAAGGTAATTGATTAATTCAACCCCCTTTGGATCGTTACTAACAAATAGTCCCCCTTGCATGGGGACTCATGTGAGCTGCCCAAATCAGACGCATACATAGAACTAAAATCACCATCTGAAAAGGACAAAATTGTTTTGGTGGGTTATTTAAATGCCCCGGCAGTTCTAGTGACTTTAATAGGAGGTGCCATGGGGTACAATGCAGTGTGGTTTTGGGCAAGCAAATTCACCCCTTTGGGCAGCCTTTTCCCATCTTGCATAGCTACAGGGGTGTTATGAGCCGCAATGTGTCAATGCTTGTAAAGTGTTCTGAAGACATAAAGCACTTCCACAGACTATAACATTCTTTACCTGCAGCCAAGTAGCATGCAGAGGTGTGAAATTCTTTCCTGCTTGGTTCTATGATCTTTACAGCTGACAGCCCCAGCCTGAGCCAAGGGCGGATACAGGCACACTAATGGTTTGTGGTTCTTGGCTTCAGTGATTGGAGATCACTGAACCCACCTCACATGTGTGCAGTAGAGGTTAGTACGCGATCAATTGCTGTTAGTGCTGGAATTCCCATTCTTTTTCTCGACACTTCTCTTTTTTAGCTGAAGAAGTTGCTTCTTTCTCCGTCCCACGGGCCTCCAAGCTGTGAGGCTCAGAGAGAAGGGAGTGCACGACGCCAGGGGCCCCCAAAATCCAGACCCCAGCGACCCTGCACAAAGGTATTTCCCATCCCAGCTGCCATGGCCCCATCCCAGCAGGGAATGCTAGGGATGCCCCCCGCCTGCCCGTCTCCTCATCACCCAATCTCAAGACTGGCATTC